TATAAACAGTGGTTTATTATCACTTGAACCACTTGATGGAAGATTCCATCATTTGTGAAATAGACTTCATGCTTCACCTATTCCGGCATTCATCACAGAAATGGGTTGCTTTAGACTGGTTGTTTACTGCGTTGGTAATTTTGAATGTGAACCGATAATCAAATTACGAATATTAGCCCATATTGCACGGGAACTATACCCGAGCTGTTTTTTTTTAGTTGTTTGCTGTTTTCCGGTCGTTATTGACTGTTTATGAGTGACCCAACTGAACGCTTCGCTGGTTGTTGTTTTGTTATCACACATGTTGCATACTACGTCGAACGAAGTGTTAAACAATGTAAAAAGTACGGAAAATCTCAATCAGTGTCTGTTTTTATCATTTACCATCACACGCAAGGAGTAGTGCAGTGTAGATGAATTGCTTTCGTTTTGAATGTCTTCGCTGTGAAGTACGAGCGAAACGAACAATTGATTTAATTATACATCAACCAATACGCGTTTGTTGATATTCACCACTGCATGATTATCCAACCCGAAATTGTCAAAATCAGAAGTGATCTTAAAAAGCAAAATAATCAAATTCATTTTGGGCAAAATGATTATTTGAATGTTGTCGACCCAAGAGCCTGAAACCTCGATATTATCATCAATTCAGCATGAGGCAATAATTTTCAATTCATCTGTGTATTAAAATCAACATAACACATTCTACAGCGCTATATTTGTGTTATTTGAAAATAATCATTTTGCAGTTGATCCTCAAAATCAACGTAGTCGAGACGCGCAAAGTAAAAATTTCTATCAAAACAGGAGCACGGTTTTTGAGGGATCTTTTGACAATGTCACTGGCCACCATGTTTCTTCGAGTAGCTTCAAATGAGTTTCATACAGTGCCGCAATGCTGTTGAGAAAATTTGAACGTTCGACCGAAAAAGAATCTCTTCGTCGCATCGATTTTGTCGATTGATACTGTGATGCCCTGGTTCCAAGAAATTCAGGAATGATAGGTATAAAAACTATCAGAGGAACTCAGAGAGCTTAAGGCTGTCACAATAACTTCAGGATCGTCCAGACTTTCGGGCAAGTTAAAAAATCTGTGATCGTTAGTTTCGATTAATTTAGGACAGCATCATGAACGTCGTTTTGACAAAATTTAAGAAGTTCCAGGAATTTCAGGGAAGTCCAGAGAACTCCTGAAATTGAAATACATTTTAGACATATATTGGGAATTTCGCAGAAGCTCAGAGATTATCAGGGAAGTTTGAAGATTTTTTAGGACAGTTCCATTTATTTCAAGACAGCAGGAGAAATACAAGTACTTCAGGACAGTTCAATCAACTTCAAGAAAATTACAGGAACTCAACAGAGTTTCCGAGAAATTCAGGGAGTATTCGAAAACTTCAGCAAAGTTCCGACATCTTCAGGAAAGATCAGAGAACTTTAGTGAAGTTTAAAGATTTTAAGCAGATTCATTTTGTTTACAAAAATGTTCCAAGTATTTCGAGGAAGATCAGATATTAATTAATCACAGGAACTTTCAAATTATGGAATATACCGAGCATTTCAGGATTTTTGTGAACATTTCTGTAAATCTTCAGGAGTTTTCAGGAAAGTTCAATGAATATCAGGAAAATTGTTTCAACGCTAGAGAAGTTCCGAGAACTACGTGACACATAAGGAACCGTAAGAGAAAATTCGAGAACTTGGTGAAAATTTAGTAAACATAATGAGCTTCAAGGACGTACATCAGAAAAATTGTGGGAGCTTCAGGATAGATCGAAGAACTTCAGGGTAGTTCAATTATCTTCAGAAAAACTGCAGCAACTGTTAAAAACCGTTCATAAATCCAGATCTAGCGAACATTAGTGAAGTTCAGAGATCTTCAGGACATTTGCAATTATTTCAAGGAAGCTCCGAAAACTTCAGAAAAGTCTAGATCTGCAACAAGTATGAAAAGTCTGCACATTCACATACAGGTCTGCAAATCTGGCATCTGTGCATCCCCTCCCTAAAGACCGTGAGGACTTGGCCGGCGTCAATGGATGAGTGCACCGATGAATTTGAGTTCATTCACTCGAGAAAAAGTGATACAAGCTGCGGGCAATGTTTACTAACCATGAACACTTAATGTTCATTATTCATGATTCATGAACATTTAGTGTTCATGACTAGTAAACATTGCCCGCAGCTTGTGTCACTTTTTCTCGAGTTAGTGAACTCAAATTCATCGGTGCACTCGTTCATATAAGAGTGCACGGATAAATTTGAGTTCACTCACTCGAGAAAAAGTGATACAAGCTGCCGGAAATGTTTACTAACCATGAACACTAAATGTTCATTATTCATTAGTGTTCATGATTAGTAAACATTTCCCTGGAGCCGACGCCGGTGGTGTAGTGGTAAGCGTGACTGCTTTCTAACACCCCAATGGGTCTGGGTTCAATCCCAGCCGAGGTCGGTGGGATTTTTCTGAGGCATAAAAATCTCTGTGCTCCTGTCAAATTTCGATCAGTGCATGAACTCAAATCCATCGGTGCAGTCATCTATAGACGAGTGCACGGCTGGATTTGAGTTCACTCGCTCAAGAAAAAGAGGCACAAGCTGTGGGAAATGTTTACTTCTTCTTTCCTTTATTTAACGTCGGTCTCTGTTCCGCAATCTAGTGCCAATCACCGACGGACATGGAAGGCAGCTTCCACACCTGCGTAGGATATCGCACCCATTCAACCACACATGGGCCGGGACCAACGGCTTTACTTCCCTTCCGAAGAAAGGCGTGATCAGAGATGTTATGCCTCAGAACATCCCGGTGGCGCCAACTGGGATTGAATCCAGGCCTGCTGGGGTGAGAGGTAATCACGCTTACCACTAAACCACCGGCGCCGCTGTTAGGTTAGGTTACTTTATTAAAGAGACTTTCAGCCACTGGCTGGTTGGTCTCTGCGGATCTCCGATGGAGGTCCCGGGAAGGAGGATGGCCCCCATAAGGGGGTCCCCATTATACAGAGTTATTCAAAACAGAGTGTTATATGCTGTCTAGTTTGCTGTCATGGAGGGTTTGCAGATCGGTTCTGCTTGTGCCGTAGGTCTGTTGGGGTCAGTAGTCAGGGTTCTGGTGCGCATGGGTCTTGGTTGTCTTCATTCCTTTATTTAACGTCGGTCTCTGTTCCGCAATATAGTGCCAATCACCGACGGACATCGATTGCCATCCATTGACGGCAATCGAATGTGCAGGAAGGCAGCTTCCACCACCTGCGTAGGATATCACAGCCATTCAACACACATGGGCCGGGACCAACGGCTTTACTTCCCTTCCGAAGGAAGACGTGACCAGAGATTTTTGTGCCTCAGAAAAATCCCACCGACCTCGGCTGGGATTGAACCCAGACTTATTGGCGTGTTAGAAAGCAGTCACACTTACCACTACACCACCGGCGCCGGCTGGGTCTTGGTTGTATCATTGGTCAGTTTAGGGTTGGTAATCCGGGTGATGGTGCGGGTGGATGATGAACAGGATGTTTCCACCGGTACCAGACTTCATTGAGGGGTCCGCTGCTGGCAGCGAGCACCGAAGTGGTAGTTGTCAAACTAGGTGGAAGAGCTCTGCTTCTTTGAGAAAACCTATAGTAGAGCAGCGGTGTGGCTTGTGTCATTGCTGAGCGCGTCTTTTGCGCTGCTTGGAATCCCGTAAAGCTCTCTTACTCCCTGGTATTGCGGGCAGTGACATAGGAAATGCTCAACAGAGTGATGAATGTGGCATAGGGAGGTAGGTAGGTTTCTGAGGTTGTGGGAAAGGCGAGTGTGGCCAGATCTTAGGCAGGATAGGACAATTTGGGAGCCATGGTCTGCTGGATCCTCCCATTTGCCCGTGTGTGGTCGCGGGAGTTAATCCAGTCCCTATTCCAGGCTTCCCAAGTAATGGTCTGGGCCAGGGACTTTACGCGTGTATAGGCACATATGTGTACCGGAGGAGACTTGCACATTGTCCTGGATACCGCAGTGACAGTCGAATGTGAATTACTGCTATTTAAAAAAAGTCAGAAATATTCTCAGGGGGTGCAAACCAAGCTCCAGGGGGTGAATAGCACCATGCACCCTCACTTCTTACGTCAAAGTATGCGAAATTACCATACCAGACCAGAAAATACAACTTTGATGTTGCATACAGTTGCCAGATTCAAGAGTGTCGAACACCGCTCCTTCGCAAAATACTGAAAATACTGCATACGATTTTCTTAATATCGTTTAGGTGACTGTTGCAAAAATGGTGCACTGGGGCTTGAAGTGCTAGTTTCTGCTAGTCACGTTTAATGACAACCAGAATTATGTTGCATAATATCCAACGAATAAGTTTCTAGTCAAGCTAATCTCAAACCGCAGCACGTGATCGCAATGATCTTGTTCACCTGCTCCGCTATAGGAAAATCGACTTCAAAGCTGATTCATCTCCAAGGGTGATATTTAAATAGTTGTTTAAAAGTCAAGTTCTGTGTCGCAATGCAGATAAGGTTCAGTTTTCCTTAGCTATAATTACTGCAGTTTTCCACGTCAAGCAGTTACAAGTGCTGGACGCGATCGCCGTGTGTCTGTTTTTATAATCAACCATTAGTATGCCACTCAACCACCGCGCGCTCCAGGGGATTTGTTTAAACATTCTACACGATCGTCATTGGACGGTGATGCAGCGCGGGCTTAACAATAACATTTCGTTGAAGAACGTGATTCTACCGCCGCGGCCACGGTAGAATCTTCCGCCTGCGATCGTCCAAGAGATGCATCAATGAAGCACATTAAAAGAAGTGAAAATGGTCACGTTTCCGGGGGACCTAGGCTGTGATGTGCCATTTGGCCAGTCTGTTCATGGCGTTGGATGTTTTGGCTTTATGAGTTTATTCAAACAATGACACATTTAGAGAACATAGCCTCGTCATTTCGTTATTGCGGGGAATTTGGGATAATTGAGCAAACGCTAATCTAATGGCATTTTCCATAATCAACAGGTACCGGTCTCCGTGTACTACGAATCGCTCTGCCCGGACAGTGCCAAGTTCATCAACGAGCAGCTATATCCAACGGTGAAGCAATTCCGGGGCAACGTCGACTTGAAGTTCATTCCGTTCGGCAAGTCCAGCTACCGGACCCAGGGTTCGGAAACGCTATTCGAGTGTCACCATGGGCCGAACGAGTGCTACGGCAACAAAGTGCATGCCTGCGCCTTAACCAGCATCGAGGGTAACTCGTATCAACCGAACAACACCAAGGAAGCTCTGACCCTGGAATACATCAACTGCTTGATGGAGCGTGCCCAGTTCAAGAGCGGCGAGTTTCCCGGAAAGGTTTGCGCCGATCAGTTCGAGATCAACTGGGAAACCATCGAGCAGTGCGCCAACAGCACCCAGGGAAGCACTCTGCTCAAGAACTACGGAATCGAGACCAACAATCTCCAGCAACCGCTCAAGAGCGTTCCCACTGTTGCATTCCGTCAGGTATGGTCGACCGTTTTGTCAGCTGCGAAATTTATTTTTAAACGATATTCCAATTTCAGACCTTCGACAGCGACATCCAGAAGCTGGCCGTGGACAACTTCCGTGCTGCTTTGTGCAAGAATCTGAGCCCCTCGCCGGTTGAGTGCCGTGTTGGCCCAGGAGGCGGTGCTTCGGCCGTTGCCTCGTTCGGACTGCTCACCGTTGCAGCTCTGATTCTCACGCGTCTGTTCTAATGTTAAGAGTATTTAGGATTAAACTCCCCCAACTGGATCTATCTGCATCCATCCATCCGTCCATTACCGCCTCTCACGTGGTGCATTTAAATGCTATGCAATCATTCCGCCCAAGTACTTTAAAAAAGTCGTTGTTTGAAACAATTTGCAATTGTGCATGTTTTAAATCATTAGATTAATTATTGACGTTTAAAGTTTGCAAACGAAGATTTATGTGAATGTAAAAGTAAAACAAAATTCTAGAAATAAAGTGATTTTACTTAAATTGAAACTTCGAGTTCACTCCACCCGTTTCTAGCTACAGATGCACGAATCCTTAACGTTGTTATTGATCCAGCGGAGGAACTTGTTGACTCGGGTGTAAACCCCGGGGTAGTTCTTCTGGGCGCAAGCTCGTCCCCAGGAAACGATTCCCACCAGTTCGTAACGAAGCGTGCTGTTGTTGTACACCTGAAGAGGTCCACCGCTGTCTCCCTGAAAACACACATCACCCATGTTAGAACAATCTCTTACAGTTTCCCAAACCCGTCACTCACCTGGCAAGAATCCCGTCCACCTTCCACGTACCCAGCGCAAAGCATCTTATTGGTGATTTGAAAGGCCCAGTAGCTCGTCCTTCGACACTTGGCATTGGTCAAAATGGGCACCTTCAGCTCTTGCAGCACATCCGACAGCCCTCCTAGTGACGTTTTGCCCCATCCCGTAACGATGGCCATTTTCCCATCGTACACGTTATCGTTCGGCTGGGGCAAACAAACCGGTACCAGGCGATCGGCGCTGATCGTCACCGGAAATGTCAGCTCCATCAGCGCAATATCGTTGTTATTCGTCAGTCCACTATAGAAGAACGTCTTGATGGACTTGACGCTTCGTTCAACGGAGTTGGACGACGGTTGGGTGCGGTTGTACACCGCCAGCTGTACCCGGAAGCGGGCCGGACTCAGCCGGAAGACGCAGTGGGCTGCGGTCAGGACGTACCGGTCCGTTACCAGCGAACCGCCGCAACTGAAGCGATTGTTGTAGTACAGGGCGGCCATCCAGGGGTAGGCATTTTCCTTGCTGGGGGAACCTCCGACGATCTTTGCCAGCGGGTCGTGGTTGCCGCATTCTAAAAAAAAAAAAATAAATAAATAAATGGTAGAGTTGCAAACCATTAAGAATGAATTTTGCCTCCAGTCTGGAATACATAAATGCGAAACAATACGTTCAAAGTATTCTATGGTCAGAATTAAAGAGGCTGAACTTACCAAAATTTAGTCAAAATAAGCGACTACACATTCAGGCCTATTCTGCGCGGCATGTGAGGTGAGGTGACAGTGAACATTTGATTTGCACGGTTGCTCAGAAATTATTCCGAAGACCATCAGTTGACCAGAGATCCCCTCAGGCTTCAGGCTACTTTTTCAAGACTTCCGGTTGGTCAGGTACCATTTTGAAAATATCAAACTATCGATCTATCCTAATAACATCTCTCAGATATTCTCTCATAAGATACCAGGCAGTTCAGAAATTATCCCAAGTCCTTCATGTGTTTTGACATTTCCATATAGTCCTCTGGATACTTTTTCATGACTTCAGGTTGATCACAGGTTCCAGGTTCCAGTGTATTCCTCCATTTACGAACCAGACCGGCGGTTCGTAAATCGAAACAGATGTAAAAAAACATTATTTGCGATTTATTTCCTGAAAAGTTTTTTGAAAATTTTGTCGAATACCGCACAAAATGGGTATTTTTTGGTATCTGGGTGACGTACCGGGACCGGAAATCAATGCCTGACGTTATTTTTATTTCAATATGACGGCTTCCGGTTAAAGAAAAGTTGGGAAGTACTGCCAAATTATAAACAACATGGGTATTTTTGGAATCTTGGTGACGTGTAGGGACTGGATATCGATGTCTGAAGCCGTTTCGAAATTCAATTCTGTCAAATACTCCTCAATATGGGTATTTTGGGACGTTTGAGGACTGGAAATCGATGTCTGACGGCATTTTGACATTCAAGATGGCGGCTTCTGGTTAAAGAAAAACTTGGAAATTCTGTCAAACATCCCACAGTATTGGTATTTTTGGAGGGACCGGACATCGATGTACGAGGCCGTTTTGAAATTTAAGATGGTGGCTTCTGGTTAGAGAAAAAACTTGGAAATACTGCCAAATACCTCACCATATTGGTATTTTCGGAGACGGGGTGCTGTGAACGGACCCTAAATCGATGTCTGAGGCCATTTTCAAATTCAAGATGGCGGCTTCCGGTTAGAGAAAAACTTGGAAATACTGCCAAATTACCCACAATATGGGTATTTTTGGAATCGGGTGACGTGTAGGGACCGAACATCGATGTCTGAGGCCGTTTTGAAATTCAAGATGGTGGCTTCCGGTTAGAGAAAACTTGAGAATTCTGTCAAATACCTCACCATATTGGTATTTTTGGAGACGGGGTGCTGTGTACGGACCCTAAATCGATGTCTGAGGCAATTTTGAAATTCAATATGGCGGCTTCCGGTGCGAGAAAAACTTAGAAATTCTGTGAAATACCTCTCAATATGAGTATTTTGGGAGTCTTGATGTCGTGTAGGGACCGGAAATCGATGTCTGAAGCCATTTTGAATTCAATATGGTGGCTTCCGGTTAGAGAAAAACTTAGAAATTTTCTCAAATTTCACACCATATGGGTATTTTTGGAGTCGAGGTTACGTGTAAGGGCCGGAAATCGATGTCTGCGGCCATTGTGAAATTAAACATGGCGGCTTCCGGTTGGAGAAAAACTTGAAAATTAAGTCAAATTCCTCTCAATGTGTTTATTTTTGGAATATTGGTGAAGTGTAAGGACTGGAATCCCATGTCTGATACCATTTTGAATTTCATATGCCAGCTTCCGGTTAAAGGAAAGCTGCGAAGTACTGCCAAATTATCCACATTATGGGTATTTTTGGAGTCTTGATGACGTGTAGGGACCGGACATCGATGTCTGAGGCCGTTTTGAAATTCAAGATGGCTGCTTATGGCAAGAGAAAAACTTGTAAATTCTCTCAAATACCTCACAATATTTGTATTTTTAGAGTCGGAGTGACGTGTAAGGACCGAAAATCGATGTCTGCGGTTATTTTTAAATTCAACACACTTAGATTTTTTGCCGAGATGGGCACTACCGAGCAGCTCGGCATTTTATTTTGCTGGAAATTCAGCAAAAAATATGTTTGTTAGCTGAGATCTCGGCAAAATTCCCGTTTGTTAGCTGAATCTCGGCAAGTTTGTCACTGAGATCCAGCAAAATAAAATGCCAAGCTGCTCGGTGGTGCCCATCTCGGCGAAAAAATCTAAGTGTGAAGATGATGGCTTCCAGTTAGAGAAAAAATTGGAAATTCTGTCAAATACCCCTTACCTAGGGGTATTTTTGGAATCGGGGTGACGACCAGAAATCCATGCCTGGCGCCATTTTGACATCCAAGATAACGGCTTCCGTTAAAATAAAACTGGGGCATTGTCAAATACACCACTTTATGAGTATTTTAGGAATCTTGGTGACGTGTAGGGATCGGAAACTAATGCCTTTTTTTTAATTCAAGATGGTGGCTTTCAGTTACACACAGCAAAAAATAAATTTTAATATTACATCCAAGAGGATGCACTTCAATCATGTCTAAAATTTCATGTAATTTTTATGGCTACAAAAATAAACAAATGCAGCAAAAGCAGCGTAATGTCAGTTCATGCATTGTATTAATGATAATTTTATGCTTTTTGGCAAGTAATATTACACCATATTTTCGACACGATTGAAGCATAGAGGTAACTCTAAGACTAGAGGGTCTCGAAATAACGTGCTCAACTTTTTGGCTCAGCTCTGGTAATATCTTCGGTCCCAAGCTAATCGATTCACCCCTCGAAACATAGGAAAAACCAATAACCCCTCATTTTTTTTCTGTCAAACTTTCATAGCAAATCAAAACAAACATTGCGTAGTACTAGAATTTTAACTAGAATGGGGTAGGTTAATCGTTTGCTTGGGACCAATAGGCTAGTCAAGTAGTGAGCCAATTTGAAATTGTTAGTTTCGTATTGATTGTTGATTGAAGTGCATCCACTTTGATGTGATATTAAAATTATTTTTTTGCTGTGCAGAAAAATTGAAAAATACTATGAATGAAATACCCCTCAATATGGGTATTTTTGCAATCGTGGTGATGTGTAGAGACCGGAAATGCATGGCTGACGACATTTTGAATTCAATATGGTGGCTTTCCGTTAGCAAAAAACTTGGACATTCTGTCCAATATGGGTATTTTTGGAATTGGAGTGACGTATATGAACGGAAAACTCGCCTGTATTTTTCTATTTTTCTGTAACCGGAAGCCACCATATTGAATTTCAAAATAGCATCAGACATGGATTTCTGGACCCTACATGGCACACGATTCCAAAAATATTCATATTGTGGTGTATTTGACAGTGTTTCCAAGTTTTTCTTCTATCGGAAGCCGCCATATTGAATTAAAAATGGTCTCAGACATCGATTTCCTGTCCCTACACGTCACCCCGAGTGCAAAAATACCAGTTTTGTGGGGTATTGGCAGAATTTCCCAGTTTTTCTCTAACTGGAAGCCGCCATATTGAATTTCAAAATATCTTCAGACATCGATTTTCGGACCCTACACGTCACCAAGATTCCAAAAATACTCATACTTTGGGTAATATGGCAGTAATTCCCAGTTTTTCTCGCACCGGAAGCCGCCATATTGAATTCAAAATGGCGTCAGACATCGATTTCCGGTCCCTACACGTCACCCCAATTCTGAAAATACCCATATTGAAAGGTATTTGACAGAATTTCCAAGTTTTTTTTCGAACCGGCAGCCGCCATCTTGAATTTCAAAATGGCGTCATACATCGTTTTCCGAACCGTTCACGTTACCTAGATTCCAAAAATACTCATACTGTGGGTAATTTGGCAGTAATTCCACGTTTTTCTCGCACCGGAAGCCGCCATATTGAATTCAAAATGGCGTCAGACATCTATTTCCAATCTAACGGCGCCGGTGGTGTAGTGGTAAGCGTGATTACCTCTCACCCCAGCAGGCCTGGGTTCAATACCAGTCGGCGCCGCCGGGATGTTCTGAGGCATAACATCTCTGATCACGCTTTTCTTCGGAAGGGAAGTAAAGCCGTTGGTCCCCGGTTCATGATCCCACACCGGAGCAGCGTAGAGGATCGCAGGTGCTATGATTTGTTTGTAGACGGCCAGTTTATTCACTCTTGAGAGGCGGGATATGCGGCAAATCAGCGGATACAGACACCTAACCAAGGTATTTAGAACACTTGACTACAGTTTTCTCTACATGCGAACGGAAGAGGAGCTTTTCATCGAACAACATCCCGAGATAGGTAACTTCGGCAGACCACTCAACCCTTGTGCCATCCATGATTACAGTACAAGATGGAGCTGGTTTGAGTTTGGGCGATTGCCGATGGAGGAGCATGATCGCTTGTGTTTTGGAGGCATTGATTTTGATTTTCCAAATAGGAATTTGAGCGGGGTTCTCTCTATTTATACTCTATAGTATGACGCGCTTGGCATAGATGGCCCACAGCGACTCACGAAGAGCTACTGATTCCGATCAATAGCGGTGCGGCTTCTTCCTCCTTCTATGGATGTTATCCAGTTCGCTGCTCGCAGGCAGCAATTCGTTGTGTACTGGAGAACAATGTTCAACGCCACGTGTCAAAAGCACTGCTGCTGCTGCTGGTGATGATGCCGACGACTGCACACTACCACACGCGGTGATTGGAAATGAATCCCATCAGCGGTTGAGGCCAGCCTTGATAGCTAGCTGCTTGCGGGGAGCCTTTCGTTGTGTACTGGAGAACACCACCATTCACCACGCGGTGATTGAATAAACATCCTTTGGGGAAAACGGATGGAATTCAACTTTGAAATCTGTGTTAGGGAAATCGCTTTTCGCAGGCAATCGGTGATAATTTTTACTATAATAGCAACAGTTGAACATTCGTGCCATTTTCAATAGTGACAATTCTAAAAATGGTAAAGTCTTGAAATTAAAAGATGCGTATAAATATTTCTGGCCCATTGGTGGTATAATTATTGAAAT